TGGTTTCCTAGAGCTGCCATGACAAGTTACTGTAAACTGGGTGGGTTGAAACAGAAGTTTATTCTCTTGCTATTCCGGGGGCTAGAAATCTGAAATCAAGGTGTGAGCAGGGTTCGTTCCTTCCAGAAGCGCTGAATGAGAATCTGTTCCATGCCTCCATGCTGCAGACAGTCCTGGCTCATAGATGCATAACTCCAATCTCTGCCTGCCTATTCACTTGGCTTTCTCTCCTATTTCTATGGGTCAAATCTCTCTCCTCTTTTAAGGACACCGGTTATTGGATTTAGGGCCAACCCTAATTTCAGGGTGATCTCACCTCGAGATCCTTAATGACATCTTCGAAGACCTTGTTTTCAAGAGAGGCCAGAGTCACAGATAATGAAGTTTAGGAGTTGGATATATCTGTTGGGCAGACAAAATTCAACCCATTACAAGTGGTTTTGTATTTTGTTTTCTTTCCTTGTACAGCAGCCATTGCTAATTCTTTCCTTTTAGAGTTGATCTCCTCAAAAATTAGACTTTCTAGTTTGTCCCTTCTTTTCTGCCTCTGAAAAAATATATAAGGCGCCTTTTGAGTTAAGAAAAACAAAAATTTTGAGAATATTTTTGGTAATGGTTAAGAAGAAACACCGAAGCATAAAACATCGAATTGTAGGCCAGGCATGGTGGCTCACGCCTGTAATCCTAGCACTTTGGGAGGCCAAAGTGGGAGAATAGTGTGAATCCAGGAGTTCTAGACTAGCCTGGGCAAGATAGCAAGACTCCATCTCTACAAAAACTTAAAAAGTAACTGGGGGTAGTAGTGCCCATAGTTCCAGCTACTCAGGAGGTTGAGGCAGGTGGATTGCTTGAGCCCAGAAGTTCAAGTTTGCAGTGAGCTATGATCATGCCACTGCTCTCCAGCCTAGGTGAGACCTTGTTTCAAAACTAAATAAATAAATAAATAAAATTATAGTGAATTTAACAAAGTTACAGAATCTCACAAATTTCTTACTCTAACCCACATTTTCCAAATCTCATTTGAGATGTTAACTGGAAGTTATATTGACCTTTGCCATCTCATTTTCCTCTTAAGACTGAGGTTCACCAAACCTCTCCTATACACATGCCCTCCCATCTGATCCTGACTTTAGATGCAATTGTTGCTTGAATCTATAATGAAGGCAGAATAAAATGTATCTATCAGATAGCCATTATGTGTCTCTTTGGCCTTTATGGTCTGATGCCCATTTAATTGAACCTCTGTGCCAGCCAAGGAATGACATCCCCTCACAGACTGCATCATAATAGTCAAAGCCATGTTAACAGGAGTGCTAAGGGTGAACGTATAGGGAAAATGGAAGTGTGAAGAGTAAAGAAAGGAGTCTAGTATCTTTTCCTGCCTCTGTAGATACCACGTGCTATTTCCTCCTTCACATGTGTTATTTCGTCTAATTCTTCCATCAACTTTACCTTCATTTTGTAGTTGAGGGAAGTGAAAACTTAGATTGAGCATTAAAATTTGTCAAATATCACACTTACCAAGAACTGGAAATCCCAGATCCAGTTGAATCCAATTTCCAAATTCTATTTATTTTACTATGCCATTTTATAAAGTGACAGTTACTAAATAACTTTCATTGACCATTTATTATGATGAAAGACTATATTACCTCACTTAATCTTGACATTTCTGTTATCTAGTGAGTGTTATCCCTATTTAACTTATGAGAAGTTACTCATAAGTTACTTGCAACTTAGAAAAGTAAAACAACTTGTATAATTTATATAGCTAGTAAGTGTCAAAGCTAGGATTTTAATTTAGGCTTGCCCAGCTCCAGAACACAGGCTTTTTCTAATAATTGGAATCTTGAATCAAAATCTAAGGATTAGGTGAAGGAAGGGTCCCAGGCAGGGATACAAACACAGAGGAGAGGCAGTGAGGAAAAAGGAACAATGCTAAAATGAGATTCAATAAGGAGAGGATGGTCAATGCTGTCATCCCTCTCAAGAAATGGAAAATGTCCTTTGGATTTATTTGACAACTAAAGACCAATAGCAACAGAAACAAGATTGCAGTGAGAACTGGAGAGTAGGGAGGGAATGGGAGATTATGAGATAATGCATCTTTGAGAGGCTTGACTTCAAAGATAAAAAGAGAAACAGTGTTGGAAAGAGAGGGCAAAACAAAGTTAAAGAAGACACTTTATTTGCTTGTTTTAGGAGAAAAGAGAACCTTAAGTATCTACAAGTTGAGGTGGTAGAGACGGTAGAGACAAGTAGATAGATGATACAAATGAGAAACAGAATAATCAATGAAGAAGTATAGAAATCTAGAACTCTTATTAGGAGATTTGCCTTGATTGAAAGCAAAGGGACCATTTTTATTGAAACAGGAGGAGCAAACCAGGCATAAATGGACATAAATTTGAAGGCAGCAGAAGCTAAGAGTGTGGGTAGGGTCAGGAAGGTGAGAGTTCAGCCTTACTGCTTTTTGCAAAATCAGAGGCAAGGCCATTTGCTGAGAGAGACGGAGTCAGCAGGGTTAAGGATTTGGTGACTATGAGGAGAACAAACTGTAAAGAACCAGCAAACAATCCTATTAAGATTGAATGTTGTCATATATAAATGGCTTTATGATTTAACATAGCAGACAAATGTTAACATTTCATATAGCATAACTAAAACTCAAGAGTCTCTAAAAGCAAGAATGTTTATTTTAAAGTGAACAGTTATTTCTACCTGCACAGAAACACACATCTCAAATTGGAAATAACCATTACAGAACATAGGTCTGTCAGTTACTCCCCCTCATAATAATTTACATTCCTCTTGCATCTATATTAATCATTTTTCCTACACAATGTTATCTTGGCAGTCCCTAAAAAGCATAAAGAATTCATGCTTTTATTCAGTGCCATGTGCCAAGCCATTTCAAATATATTTGTGTTCTGGAGAAGCTAATTAGACTACATAGAAGCTAAATAGACTACAAAAATGTATGATGCCAGGTTGCGTATAAACAGGGGTTAGAGCATAGGAAAATCAGACTGATCCTCTTAAGATATTACTAAATGAACATATACCAAGACCGTCACGGTCATGTAAGAGTTGTATTTCTATCTAGAGTAATATTGTTCATGAACAAGTTCAAGAATTATATATTAAGAATGATGTACAGGAGATCCAAACTGGGATGTTGAGGATAATAAAATACAACCATCTTTTACAGTAAATATTAGCCCTGAAGATCTGTTCTAGGTTTAGAGTTGTTTTCAATTCACTGTTGTGTTTATAATGAGCAGAGATGTTTTGTTCTTTGAATAAGTTCCAATGAATTTAGCTCTGAAAGGCAAAATATATAATCACTCTCAAGCTTCCCTTTTCTATCGCCTACACTGGAACTTTTCTTTCTGCCTCAAGGAGATCAGAGGACCAGGTCTACTCTGCGCATAGTAACAGGGGAAAAGGCATGGATCATTTAGAAACCTGCCAGCACTGAAGTACTGCATCAGTTTCTGACATCAGTTTCTTCAATAGAAACGTTTAAGCAGCAAGAAAATATTCTGTTTTTTGGCAATCAGCAGATCAGATAGAAGAGTCTAGCAATACAACAAGGATGTGTAATCTGACATGATTAGACAAGGCTCTTAGTACCAGAACATTCATAATTGAGACAAAGAGTATTAATAACACTTTCCTAACACGGCAGTTAGCCATTTTATATTTCCTTTCTTTAATCTTAGTGTTTTTCAACAAATCATGGGATTTAATAGCGTGTTTTGGCAGATTAGAGGATTTATGGCCCAGATGTTTTTTGTTCTAAAAATGGATTAGGGTGTAAAGTTTGCTGGAATCCATGGAACATGTTGAGGCAAGCCGGTCATTTTATGTGTGATTAGTGCCTGCCTTCTGTCTCACAGTCCCTCCATCTGTCACAATTCACCAATGGATCTGGTTAGATTTAGCCTCGTGTCACAAACAAGTCCCTTTTCTGGGCAATTTCATATTACAGATTCATTTTATGCCATTTTATGCCCTAGTTAAAAGATAGGGAGAGAGGAAGATGAGATATCAGCTTTTCTTTAAATACTTGCAAAACAATCTTTTTCCGTCAGTATTCTATTCGAATATAATGCAGATCATCATACTAATATGCATCAAATAAATAAATGATCAGTGTTAAAAATAAAATTAAATAAAAATTAGTTTTGGTTGTTACATCTGTTATTCTATAAAAGCAATATTTTGGTAGTGTATATTACTAACCATGGACTGTGGAGTTGCATGCATAAGCTGATCGTTTGGCCATCTTATTAAGAGTGTGAATTAAGTGTGACTATAGTTAAGAGTAGCCACAATTTCTTATCAAACAATTACAGGTGCTTGGTTACATTCTGTACTTGAAATTTAGCCTAACTGTTACAAGTTTGCATCCATAACAAACCACTGCCACCTGTGGTTTATTTCACCATAAATGGATTTTTAGGAAGAAAATGCTCTTCAGTCGGTTAGTAATGATTTATTTCTTCTGTATATAACAAACCTAATAGTGCTATACAGACCCTCTTAAGTGGCCTTTCTAATACTAGGAGAGACTCAATAATCATAGTTATAATTATGAATACCTAAATCCTGTGCTAAAATTCAAAAGTTCCTTGCAGGAAAAAAAAATTAAAAGTGGGTTTTGTATTTGCACTACAAAATAATATTCGAATAATAACTAAAGCATTTACTTAAAAAATACATCTTCAACTTCTTTCAAAATAGTTGGAAACAACCATATTTCACTTAGGTATTATATTTTTATTACAGATATTTGAACATATTGGAAACATGTTTATGTATGACTATATGAATCAGTCATTGTCAATTATTCATTCATTCATTTTAGATAAATCCCATGGAGAAATCATTATAGGCCGGACACTAGCTGTTACCAAGAAGTGATTTTTATGGTTACAGGCTAGCCTAGACATGCATTTATACAAAAGATATCCTTTGATCTGTCTCATGTTCAGGTTACTTAAATGACCATGATGCTGTCACCAAGGCAATCCAAGAAGCTCGGCAAATGAAGGAGCAACTTCGACGGGAACAACAGGTGCTTGATGGGAAGGTGGCTGTTGTGAACAGTCTGGGTCTCAATAACTGCCGGACAGAAAAGGTCAGTTCATAACATAACTTACTTTCTAGAAATACTTAATTAAATCGCCTGATGCTTTATAAAAATATATATATATATATATATTTCCATCTTCTTATCATCCTCAGAATGATTCTCTGTCCCTTTTCTCCCTCCATTAATATAGACGGCCTCATCACCTTCCTAATCAAAACCATCTGGAAATAGAAAGAGTTATAATTCTCTTGATCCATCTCCAAACCTTATGGACAATGAATATCCCCTTTTACGCCACCAGCTTGTATTAAAACAAAATGGCATTTGAAATATCTGAGTCTGACTAAAAGTTTTGCTTTTCAGAGATGCTTAACTTGTATTTGGGGATGAGCTGGATTTGAAATGCTGAATCTTCCTTAATCAGCATAAGCTTGGATGATATCCATGCTCATATTCTAAGTATTTAGGATCCTGAGCTTGTCATAATATGTTTCCAGCATAAAGCACTGTCAAGTGTTAGATGAGTTCATGACTGGAAATTTTGACTTTATTATAAAACAAAATGTACTTATTAAAAACTTTGACATTATTTGTATTATAAATAAGGCCAGTGAAACTTCTGAATCTGAGAGACAATGATTTCAAGCCCTTTTGTCTAAGCATACATGGTGTTTTATTTAGAAAAATATTATAAGTTGAAAAGTTATAGAAAAATATTATAAGTTGTAAAATCCTCAGAATTATGTACTTTTGGAATATTTGATATGTTTTAAATTGAAATTTTAAAATGTTACCCAGTCCTCTTTACAGAATCCTCTAGATAAATGGATCCAGTAGAGAAGAGAAAAAATGATCAGCTACTTAGCAATAACTGGAAAGTTAATCATAATAGGAAGCTTATGAGTCAAACAGAATTGTCCAGAATGAGCAGATTGCTAATTTGGATAGCTTTCTAGTTTCCCAGGTTTTATGTGGAGTTTGATGTATAATCACTAAGAAGCTGGCAATCTGCATAGTGAAGATGAAATGTATGGGTGATCCTGTCACAACTGCTCTTTCCCTGGTCCTAATATGGTAAAAATTAAGGATGGAGAAATGATTTCAATTCTATTGTGTGTCCAGAGGGGAGAGCAAAGGATAGATCAGTATACATCCCTTGCAGTCTTACAACATAAGACGTATGACACTGGTGTCCTGAGAAGGGCACATTTTTATAGCTAAGCACCAAAAGGAAGGGGGAAAGCAACGTGACAGTTCTAAAGAAGGAATGATAGCAAGCATAAAGGAATTTATATTCAAATATTTAAACATTCTTGAAAGGATGCTTGAACAGAAATTCCGTTTCTCTGCTCCCCACGTAGAAATGAGTTTAACACTCAGCCAGATGCTAATGCAAAGTGACTCAAGCTATTCCTCGCAAGCATAGCTAAATTGCCGTTATTTGTTAAGCGCATTGAATTCAGCTGTGGATACAGCAGTTGGTTGCATTCAGCAAGCATCTGTACCCTTTTTTTTTTTTAAATCCTCCAAAGCAGAGACAACTCTACCTATCTCCCCCTTCTCTTCCCCAGTGCTGGCTGGGAATTGTCAAGTGACAACCGACCAAATCCTTTTGGACAGGAAGCCTTCATCCTGAGTTCTATATACTTGCAAAGCAGGCCTTGTGGTTGAATCAGGGAGCCCATTAAAAGTACTTTGATGGTATGGAAATTCATCTTCATGAAGCTCCTAGGCCCCTAAGCAGCGTGCTGTTTAGCTGTGGTTACAGATCAGTCATTCACATTGGAGGGCAATAATTGTGCTGACGGCTTGTAAGGCAATGGAAGTACATAAAATAATCCTAGGCCCTCCACCATGGCACTGTGAGTTAATCTTCTCTAATACAGATCAGCTGTTGTTCTAACACATGACTTTATGCTGGCTCCAGTGACTCTGCACAGCCTTTTGATTAAGTAACAGGAGTGGAACCATCTGCATTCACTTTATTCCATACTTGTCCATTGTTAGGCGACCTTATTGCCACTTCTCGTTCCATCTCCACAGTCATACTTTATTTCTCTGATTAGCACCTCCTGCTTGGGTTGCAGGAGTGAGAGTTGCCTCTGTTGATAACTACTGCTTCAATTTTCCTTTCTGTTTCGTACTGTTATAACAACTTTTTAAAAATCTGTTTTTGAAATAATACCTGCCAAAACCTGTCGGACAGTTAAGATGTCTCTGTTCTCAAGAAGATCTTCATTCCTGAATCTCTTCATCATGTATTTTCAATGCAGTTGAGTTACATCTTGAACTATAGTCTTATAATTTATGAGTTTTTAAGTGAAAAACTTAAGTTATGGAAATGAAGTAGTTTCATTATTATAATAGTATGACAAACTCTTGTAATATAAAAGGAAACCTTCTCAATCAAAGGATCTGAATTATCTCATCCCTTATGTTACCCTGACACCTGAAAATGAAATTGAGATTATTGAAACTCTTTGAAGCAGGTATTACTCTAGTCTGTGGTTGACTTTTCCTGTTGAAATAACTTGGGTGTCATTTCTAGAATATTAATGATCAATCTATGTCTGTGTAAGTCATGAAAATGAGATAATAATGTCACACTTATATCTTTTAATTAGTAATTATTCAACATTAGCACATGCTATGTATTAGAGACTGTGGTATGTACTGGAGGTATTGTATTAAACCAGAAAATATGAGTTCTGCCTTTATAGAGCTTACAGTTTGGATCAAATTATTATTTGACTGTTACTCATTACATATTTATGTGTGTGAGCCCACCCATAGGAATTGAATAAAGACGCCATATTGCTTACCATATCAAATCAGTTATATACTTGAGTTGACAAAGGTAGATGTTCTCTTGCACATTAACCATGTATTTATGCATATTGTGTTATTTTTCTAATACTTATCTTTTTATTAGACTTTTATAATCACTCAGTATTATCTATGGCCAATAAATATGTGGATTAGTAATTGGTTTGAAGTTTTGCCATAGCGTTTAGTGAAAGACATAAAAATATATGATAAATTCCTCTTACATTTTGCACTATCATCTTATATCACTTGAATCTCAAAATAAGGGCATTTTTTTCTGTCTAAAGGAATACTGCCGGCCAGGCGCGGTGACTCATGCCTGTAATCCCAGCACTTTGGGTGGCCGAGGCGGGTGGATCATGAGGTCAGGAGCTCGAAACCAGCCTGGCCAATATGGTGAAACCCTATCTCTACTAAAGATACAAAAAAAGTACCCAGGCATGGTGGTGCATGCCTGTAATCCCAGCTACTCAGGAGGCTGAGGCAGGAGAACTGCTTGAACCTGGGAGGCGGAGGTTGCAGTGAGCCAAGATTGCACCATTGCACTCCAACCTGGGCAACAGGGCGAGACTCCATCTCAAATAATAGTAATAATAATACTCCTAACTCCCTAAACCCAGAAAATACGTGTAAGGTAAGGATTGAGAGAGACAAAGCAGAAAGAAAGAAGGAAAGGAACTGGGAGAAAGGAAAAAAAGAAAAGAAGTTCAGCCTGGTGCTTTACATCAACCTAAAAGATATCATGACCTGAGCTCCAGATGATTGAAATCTTGTGGTGGAGATCTGTTTTCTTGGGTACACAGCCTTATACACATTAACTTTTCTTCATATCTCAAATAGCCAGCCACGTGGTTATACCAGCTAGAAGGTCTTAATTCTGAAAAGCTGTAATTGGGCAGTGAAAACAATTAGAGGTGTGAAGATAGGGACTGATGATTTCTCAGTGATATGTACCAAAACACATCATGAAAGTCACTTTTACTGAAACACATTTTAATGGAAGACTTCTAAGAGACTTTTTTAAATTTCTTTACGTTTTTGGAAGTGTTTCAGCATACCCAAGAACTGTGTGTGTCAGGTTTCTTGGAAACTGTGGGACACAGTATTATTTATAATTGTCATCTCTGGTTAATTGTAGACTGATTGTATATTCAAATAATGTTATCTTTGGCCACATGGCTTTGTTACAGATTAGTGTTGTGGATGAAAAGGTGAGCTTCTCAGGTATGAAGGATCAGAAAGAAGCCTCTCATATTTTGTTTTGTAAAAAACACATTTTGCTTCATTACCACCTAGATGGCACAATTTTGTTCACAGAGTCAAGTACAGGTTCTTGAGCTTGTGTTTGAAAGTATCCATATTAATAAGAGATTATAAAAAGCTCAGTTTTTGTTGTCCTGATCCCACGAGACAGTGTTAATACAATAGAGAACCAGTGCAGTCACTTGAAATAAGAAATAGACTGGAAGCTTTTCTATTTGTGTCACTCACTCCAAATATAGTTATCCTGGGAAGACTGTACCTATACTGTCATAGCTGTTAGGAATGAGTTTCACTACATGTATCAGGAAACCTGAATATGGTAGCTTAAATAGTGATTCATGGCCAGGCATGGTGGCTCACGCCTGTCATCCCAGCACTTTGGGAGGCCGAGACAGGCGGATCACCTGAGGTTGGGAGTTAGAGACCAGCCTGACCAACATGGTGAAACCCTGTCTCTACTAAAAAATACAAAATTAACAAGGCATAGTGGCGCTTGCCTGTAATCCCAGCTAAGCTACTCAAGAGGCTGAGGCAGGAGAATCACTTGAACCTGGGAGACGGAGGTTGTGGTGAGCCAAGATGGCGCCACTGCACTCCAGCCTGGGCAACAAGAGTGAAAGTCCGTTCCAAAAAAATAAAAAATAAATAAATAAATAGTGATTCATTTTTATCACATAATGAAGTTCAGGAGTAGGAGTTTGATGGCATTAGTTCATCAACTTGATATCGGAGTTGAAATCTGTGATTCTCTTGTCTATTCCCTTTGGGTCACAAAATGGTTGCCGCACCTGCAGCTATCCCATCCGCATGAAGGCAGGCAGATTCAGGAAGGAGAAGTCATTTTCTTTTTGCTAACTTCAGTCTTCATTCATACGGGGGTATTTCATTCCTCTTCTCAAGCTGACTTCCACACACATCTCATTGGCTAGAACTGGGTCATGTGAGCATCTTTAAGA